ATGTAAGCAAAGATTTAGAAAAACGGGTTATCAAGTGGTTTGATTACTTATGGACAAATAAAAAGGCCGTAGATGAAAGAGAAGTCTTGAAATTTCTTCCAGATAAATTACGAGCAGAAATTGCTATTAATGTTCATTTGGAGACGTTAAAAAAAGTCCAGATTTTTTCAGATTGTGAAGCTGGTCTGTTAGTTGAGCTAGTCCTGAAACTACAACCTCAGGTATATAGTCCTGGAGATTATATCTGCCGGAAAGGTGATATTGGGCGAGAAATGTACATTATCAAAGAAGGAAAACTTGCTGTAGTAGCTGATGATGGAATAACTCAGTTTGTGGTTCTTAGTGATGGCAGCTATTTTGGAGAGATTAGCATCCTTAACATTAAAGGTAGCAAAGCTGGAAATAGGAGGACAGCTAATATTAGAAGCATTGGTTATTCGGATTTGTTTTGTCTGCATAAAGATGACCTAATGGAAGCTTTAACAGAATACCCAGATGCAAAGACTTTGTTGGAAGAGAAGGGAAAGCAAATCCTCATGAAAGATGGATTACTGGATTTAGAACAAGCAAACTTGAAAAGAGACACTGAAAATCTTGAGCAAAAAGTTAGCCAAGTAGAAGGAATGCTAGATAATTTACAAACAAGATTTGCTAAACTTTTGGCTGAATATAGTGCTGCACAGCAGAAACTGAAAATGAGGTTAAGTCGAGTTGAGACCATCGTGAAACCATCCCTAGAGTGTGATTTTTCAGACTTAGAAGAATCGCAGAGAACCACTAGTCAATAGGGATTGAAAAAACGTTTCGGATATTCAAACGTGAGGATAAATTAATGAATGATGGACAGAATTACGTTAGACATTCCATTAGACTTGGGAAACTGTTCACAACACCCAGTTTTTTCTGGGCAGTATTTTTTTTAAAACGAGCCATGTTCAACAGACACGTTTAAGAACTTAAGTTTTGTCTCTAGGAAAGATATGATTTTGAACAATGTCATCATGTTTTGTGGTTCTATAAATCTGTATCTCCAATGGATCAACTTTTATGTGTACATTAAGAGGAATTAATGAAGGATTAGTACATTATATTCTAAATTTTTTCTGTATAACGCACCTAGAAAGAAATAATTTTTCCAGGCTACTCAGTAGCCATTTTGTTTTTACAATTGTTGAAGATTGTTAAACTATCTGATCATGTTAAATTCATTAGTCATAAAACAACTTGGTTAGCGGTAACTATCCAGAAAACTCTAAGTAGATAGTGTAAGTGGAAATACCTTATCCCAGATAAGTAGGGATTAACACTAGGCAAACAGTCAAGCAGAAAACAATACCCTAATCAAGGAACTACCAAGGAGAAAACCACACCCCCACCAACACTGGCAGGGCAGGCTGCTGTATAAAAACAGAGAGCAAACCCCACACTCACTCGCACTGATGATGTTACCTAGTTT